GAAGCTCGAAATAGCTGTTTCACTAAGGAACTACGAGCGGGTTTAGCCACTTTTCTTACTATGGCTTATATCATCACCGTTAACGCCAATATCCTCACCGACTCCGGCGGCATGTGCTCGATGGCCGACTGCTCCGCGCCGCCGAATGCCACCGCTGGGCCGGACTGCATGTTCAAGCCCAATGCCGGCTACCAAAATTGTCTTTCCAAAACCAAGAGCGATTTCATGGTTGGCACTATTTTATCGGCCATGATTGGTTCCTTCGCCATGGGAGTTTGTGCTAATCTTCCTTTGGGCCTCGCGCCTGCTATGGGCCCAAATGCGTATTTGGCGTATAACTTAGTGGGCTTTCATGGCTCCGGCCCAATCCCATACCGAACCGCGTTGGCCATTTTCTTGGTCGAAGCTTTTGCGTTTATTACTGTTTCTGCGCTGGGGATTCGTTCAAAGCTCGCGAGACTCATACCTGATTTGGTTCGGTTCGCTTGCGCCGCTGGGATTGGGCTTTTCATAGCTTTTGTGGGCCTGCAATCTCACCAGGGGTTGGGCCTAGTTGGGCCTGACTCAGCCACATTGGTCACACTTGCGGCCTGTAGCCGTACAAATCCAGAAACCGGAGAATGTATTGGAGGAAAAATGCAAAGCCCAACGTTTTGGCTTGGGTCCATCGGGTTTGTAATAATGGGCTATGGGCTAATGAAAGAGCTTAAGGGCAGCATGATATACGGCATCGTTTTCGTCACGGTGGTGTCTTGGTTCAGAGGAACGGCTGTGACGTACTTCCCTCACAGCCCACTCGGCGACGAAAGGTACAACTACTTCAAGAAAGTAGTGGACTTTCACAAAATCCAGTCAACAGCCGGTGTTGTTAGCTTCCACGGCTTCAACAGAAGCGAGGTATGGGTAGCCCTAGTGACTCTGTTTTACATCGATGTGATCGCGACGACGGGAACGCTTTACACATTGGCCGAAATCGCTGGACTTGTGAACGACCGAGGAAGTTTCGAAGGCGAATACGTGGCGTATCTCGTCGACGGTGCCTCGACGGTGGTGGCGACGATGCTTGGAGTTTCCCCCATCGCGACGTACGTGGAATCGACGGCGGGGATCAGAGAGGGAGGGAGGACGGGGATTACGGCGGCGGTGGTGAGCTTTTGTTTTATGATGTCGTTGTTCTTCACGCCGTTGTTGTCAAGTGTGCCGCCGTGGGCGATCGGGGCGTCGCTGGTGATGGTGGGAGTGATGATGATGGGGGTGGTGAAGGAGGTAGATTGGGGGAATGTGAAGGAATCGGCGTCGGCATTCGTGACGATGATACTGATGCCGTTAACGTATTCGATAGCGAATGGGATAGTGGGTGGGATTGGGGTGTACGTTGCTCTGAGTATTTACGACCAGGTTTTGAGTTTCATGAATTGGTTGATGATGAAGATGGGGAGGAAGGTTGTGGTGGAAGACCAAAACCAGGTCTCGGCTGTTAACCGCTGCTAATGCAGAGTTGACATCTGTACTTTAGACTTCTATTTTATTTTTTAGAATCACTCTAATTTTTCTATTTTGAATATCTCTGAAATTAAAAAAAGTAACCTTCCAAAAATTCTAAATACATTAAAAGTTTAAAAAATACCCCTGAAATAATTTCAAAAACAAAAGTAACCTTTAATATCTCTTTCAAAAATAACATTAAAAAATTTAGAAAAGTGTTAATTGGGTAAATAAAAGTATCCTTTAATTTTTTTAAAAAGTAAAATGATACTAATGAAACCGTTTGAAGTTAAAATAATGGTTTTGAACATTATTATTATTATTAAAAGTTTGGAAGTAGGACCGGCTAGAATGAAATATTTTTGGAAACTAAAATTTTCCCAAAATCAAAACTACAAGATTATGTTAAATTCTCATCTATCAGTATTGCACTGAACTAGTGTGCAGTTTAAAAATCAGATGAAAGTGTTGTTTATTGGTGTAGACGAAACGATGCAAAGTGAGATTACAAGTGAGAAGAAAAAATTGGGAAGAGAAGAAAAGAGACATTTACAGGCTACCCCGCCAAATCTCAGTGAAAGCACAGGAGGGAAGAGCTTCACGAGATGGAGAAGGGGCATATAGATATATTATTATTGCAGCTTGAAATTTGTGTATGCATACAAAATCATCCAGTTTGTCTTCATTATTTTAAGCCGTAAATCTTACTGCTCTGGCTGCTTCTTGTTTCTTACGTTGTAACTCTAAGAATAGCAACACAGTGGCGGAAATGTGGCCCGGTTCGGCCATGGCGCCATTGCAGTGTTCCCCATCCCTTAACCGTGGTCGTATCAGAGTAACTCCAATATCATCAACGGACGAAAGATGTTTTTCAGTGAAAGGATTCTTCCACATTAAAGCGTTCATGGCAGGTGCAACGAAGAGAGGCTTGCTGTAGTCCCATGCTCGTACCACGCAAGTTAATAGATTATCACACAATCCTCCCGCAATCTAATAACAACATACACAGACATTAGTAGAGTTGAGTTTACTAAACCCCTTCTTCAATGGCAATTGCTGCAAGGCCAGAAACAGGACACTAGACGTAACAAAACAACTATACTTTTGAATAGAAACTGAAACATTTGGTCAAGAACTTTCAAGTTATACCAAGATTTATAGTTTTGATTAGAAAGGTCACATAACTCAATGCAAGAAGATATGCCAAATGCATAATATCACCCTCCCACTGAGATAATAGTTTTCTCAATCAAGATGCACTAACGGCCCAAACTCACCATTAGCAGATATTGTCCTTTTTTAACTTTCCCTTTCAAGTTCTCCCTCAAGATTTTTCCACACCCTTAAAAGGAATGCTTCGCCCTCCTCTTCAACCAATGAGAAATCTCACAATCCACCCTCATTGGGGGCCAGCGACCTCGCTGGCACACCACCCGGTGTCTAGCTCTGATACCATTTGTAACAGCCCAAGTCCACCGCAAGCAAAACGTGTCTACTAAAGAGAGATTTCCACACCCTTATAAGGAATGTTTCATTCCCTTCTCCAACCGATGTGGGATCTCACAAATAAAGAGCTATGAGCATGCCGCATAAAACTAAATGGCTGGTTTACAAAGATTCTATGGCATCAAGTGACAAAGATTTCCTGCCTGTTAACTCCATAAGTTGTTTAGTTGGTAATTCATTTCTATGTTTAACTTGAAGTATGAGGGCAAGAGGCAGGACTTATATAACGATGATCAAACATATATTATAACCTTTCCAAGTGTGTTTGCAGAGAGTGGAGCGATTATCATAATGTCAGCCCAGTTGCAAAGCTGAATGTGAAGCATGGTGTCACCAAGTTTTCTCCAACTGTACCAATCCTGGTCATCGATCAAAAGAAAGAAATTCTTTGGGAAGGATGCTCGGTCGATGAAGAACAATGCTGCCTTTGTGACAACTGCTCGAACTTCGGCCCATTCAGAAAAACCCTGGCATATACATCTAAACTTTACTGCAGCAACACTTCCACAAGCAGCAAGAAGAATGTGTGGTCTTCTTCGAGGGTTATTGACTTGCATTGGCTCCCTTTCGACTTCCTACAATATTCCAAATTGTAAGCGTAAGTTTCTGTTTCGAAACTATACACAGAATATTGAAGAAAAACTAAAGCAAGCCCAAACAATTTTCAATTTGCATCAATCAATGGTTGCTACGGTTAGACAAACCAACTCTCCACAATGGTATAATATTGTCCACTTTGAGCCTAAGCTCTCATGACTTTGCTTTGGGCTTCCCCAAAAGGCCTCATACTAATAGAGAGAATATTCTTTGATTATAAACCCATGATTAGTCGATGTGAGACTTTCATCATCCAATTATACATGAGAATAAATTTTAGAAACAAATATGGTAATAATGCTAAAAACAGTTTTCCATCCCTTTCTCATAGATCCAACTTGACAAGACGATTAGCCCTCAAATAATTTATCCCTAATGTGGTGCACGTAGAAAGGGATGTGCTTTATTATCACTTCCCAGCATGCACAACCTACTGAAGGCCAAGGGTCATTTTAATCGCCTATCGCCAGGTCTTGGTTTCAGTTGGCGTTCTCAATCCAAAACAAATCACAAATCAGATACAGGATTTAGCCGTAAAATCAACTTCTTCCATTAAGCGAGTATGCACATGTACATATAAAACGCGAATCAGCAAATACTCGTACAAATCTTTGAGCAAGTTAAGAATACAGTAGAGAACAAGAAAGTTGACTTGATTTATTGTCAGAATTCAGCTCAATGGGCTCGCAAACGCAAAATCACACAGACGGTACCCAATGCAAGATTCAAGAACCAAAATTCCAAAATAAGTTGATACTCCAAAATTCTACCGCGACGAAATTCGTTTCTTGCAATAAAGAAGTCAAGAATTGTTCAGAAATTCAAAATTATGAAAATGGATATCATCGTTTAGCCGTTTAACTCTTTATAAATCTAAAATTGTATAAAGAAAATGCATATATTAAATATGGGAAAAGAGAAACAACGAACCCCGAAAATGATTTAATTCCTCGAGAACCTGATGAATGGAGCTCTTACTCCTCAAGAGCCTGATGAATAGAGCTCTAAAATGAAATTAGCAACTGGATTCTCGTACTGCGATTTCGGTATTTCCTTTGAATTTTGTAACGAAATCTGAAAATCTGAATTCTCTACTCTGAACTCTGAATTGATCTGGAGCATGAACTTAGGATGAAGAGGGAAAATGGAGTATTTAAATAGACGTGTTTGTGCCACGCAAACGACGCCGTTTAGAGAAGAGGGAAAATGGGCCAGCGTGCCGGTAGTTTATGAGATTAACTTTATAAATATTAAAAAATGTGTTTACTGGTCCCACATTCTCGACATCGGTAGCGAGGCCACCCTAGGATGAGGAGGGCAAATGAGTAATTTCGCATAGCGCCACCCAAAACCGAAAATGTTCCCGCGTTTTGATAAATGTCTGTAATTTGGATTTTACGTCTTTCAGTTTTTGGTTTTCAGCTTAAATCGATCGGTAACTTTGAAGGTGAAGTCGTGGGCTCTCGATCGTTGATACAGCGCAAGAGCACCATGGCGAGAGTTAACGGCAAATGGGAGAGGCTAGTGCGTGCGACTTCGAAGAGATTGCAGCTCAGAAATGCAGGGCAGGGCCATGGGAGGACTCCCTGTGGGATTGTTGGAGCTGTACGATCCTGACGCTATATTGCTGTCTGCCGATGAAATCCAAGCGGAGGACTCCAATGTTGCTAGGATTTGTAAGCATTTCGGCTCTCATCCCTTATGTTTTTTTTTTTTCCTTTTTTCAGAACTTCGTCATGGGCGTTGAGTTGGGTACCTTAAAAGTTAGATTTCTCCGATGTTAAATCACTGATGAACCCTAAAGCATTGAAATATGTTAAATCACTGATGAACCCTAAAGCTTAAGCCAATGGATTAGATAAATATAATTATATTAATACTTTGACAAAAGGTTTTGTGATTTGTGGATCACCTTGAAGGGGTATTGATCATCCAATTACCCCGCCTTTAAAAAGAAAATTGAACTGTATTGAAGGTGTTTTAAATCATCGATTTGATGCTCGAGGGCAGTGTTGTTATTTATTTAGTGTGCAACACAGAGGTGTGCTTCAATTGCTGAGTGGTGAAATGTCTTCCTCATCCAGCTATCCTTAACTTTTGTACTTGTGTTAGATCCACAATGTTCGTGTCAACTTTTCAGAGTCTGAATGCATTATGGGCATCCTGATGTGTTTGACCGTATACTCGAGGTGGTATTTGCAACGGATTAAGTGTAACAATTCAAGTCCTCCGCTAATAGATATTGTCTAATTTGGCTCACGTATCACCGTCAGTCTCACAGTTTTCCACATTCTTATAAAGAATGTTTTGTTCTCCTTTATAACTGATGTGGGATCTCACAATCCACTTCCTTGAGACCAACGTCCTCGCTGGCACATTGTTTGGTGTTTGGTTTTGATACAATCTGTAACAATCCAAGCTCACCGCTAGTAGATATTGTTCTCTTTAGCCCGTTACGTATCGTCGTTAACCTTATAGTTTTAAATCGAATTTGTTAAGAAGTTTTCACACTTTTATAAGAAATGTTTCATTCATCTCCACCCGAGCGTGCAGGTCATTTATTTTGGAATTCTATTGATTTCTTACTGCATTTATTTACTAATTCGCAGACCATCTCAAGTTTTTTTTTTTTATAATATGCATTTATTCATTTACTAGGTGGCAACAGGTTTGAATTCCACTTTGAGGCAGGGTAGCATTACACACCACAAGTACATTCAGGTTTGATATCATTATTTGCCTTTGGATTTTTTATGATCAACTACTCTTTTAAGGTTGGAAAAGGAAGGGATGTTGGGTTAAACCAAATTGGCCTGTTTGAAGGGAAAGTATCAGGTGGTAATGGAGAGAAAATTCTCAGAAGGGATGCTTACAGGCTTGGCAACTTTTTGATTTCTTCAGAATGCCATCGTCTTATTTCACAACTGTTGGTTACTATGCATGCACAATGGTTGGTTCAATTCCATTTCTTCTCTGTTCCAATATATTGTAACCCAATGCAATTGATTTTGCTAGTGTCTGGAGCTCTTTCCTCACAAACGTCTTTTTGTTTAGTGCAGATGACAGTTCTTGTGGTCTATATTTTCTTGTATGGACGGGTTTACTTGGTATTGACATTTTACACATCCATGCATGACATAATTCTCTTACAAATCTATGAATATTCATTCTTCGTAGAAATATTCATGACCATTTGGACAGAAAAAATTTTGTTCCGCGTTTTTACCAAATTTTGGGTACCTGTTTTTATGTAATATATCAATTATTAGGTACCTTTCATGGATTTGTTTTGTATGATTTTACTTAATGTCATCAAGTCTTAGGAAAACTTATTTGTGCTTGTAATTTTCCTAGTTATTTTGTGAAGATGTACATATCTATGTGTTAATAATCTATACATCGTCATATAACATCAATTTATCAAATACTGTTACTTATGTTCGAAATTTGATTAGTTAAGTTTCTTCGTGCTCAATACTGACTTGTTGAGTTTCCTCCTATATAGTATGTTCAAAGATTGATTGGTTGTGAACGAGAAATCAATTTGTCTTAAAAAATTTCAGGTCTTCTCCGGACAAGACGAAGCAATCTCAAGAAGAGAAAAGATGTTGGGAAGCACAGCATTGGATACCGCACTGAATGCTCGGTTTTTGTTCCAGATTGGAGTTTTTACAGCAGTCCCTTTGATAATGGGTTTTATACTTCAACTTGGACTGCTCAAGGTAGTGTATCTATCAATTCATTTTTTTTCTAGGAAAGATTTAAGCAAGATCTTAGATTTCCTTATTGAATTCGCCATACCTTTTGACAACATGTTATCTGCTCATTTGGTAGTCTTAAGGATATGGGAGAAAAAAACTATGCTACATCCTGCCACAATCTCATTCTCCCGCCAAATTTCATCTGGAGTTCAGCTCACAGTAGAATTAGACTCAAAATTTTCTAGTATCATGGACTTCATCACCCAGTTGATCCAACCATGGCCATGAGGCGACTAGACCAATGTCCACACTATATAGATTCTGAGGTGAGTTTTGGGAAATAGGGTAATCAATGTTTCAGACCCCGGTAATATATCAAATAAGACACCTTGGGTCCCTAAGGGGGTGGATTGATCCACATCGGTTGGAAAGGAGAGCGAAACATTCTTTTTAAGGGCGTGAAAACTTCTCACTAATAGACGCGTTTTGAAACCATGAGGTTGACGGCGATACGTAGGGACCAAAACGGACAATATCTGCTATCGGTGGACTTAGGCAGTTACAAATGGTATCAGAGTCAGCCATCGGGTGGTGTGCTAACAAGGACGCTGGGTCCCCAAGAGGGGTAGATTGTGAGATCCCATATTGGTTGAGAGGAGAACGAAGCATTCCTTATAAGGGTGTGGAAACCTCTCCCTACCAAACGTGTTTTAAAATTGTGAGGTTGATGGCGATATGTAACGGGCCAAAGCGGACACCGCGATGGGCTTGGGCTGTTACACTTTGTAGTCCAGCACATCAAATTTACTTTCACTACTTGAGAAGTCATTTCATCCATAGTGATTTCTTCAAAGTTTTTATTTAGGTATGTTCATGATTTGATTGCTTATGCCCTATTTGTTAACCATGTGGTTTTTGTTTTTGGTTTTTGAAAAGTAAGTTTTGAAGTTGGGAGGAAACAATCATAAATTTCTAAAACATAGAACTAAAATTGAAATCGGTATCAAACGGGAAATCATCTGTTTCGGATTCGTTATTGCTTGTCACTGGTGATGCTATAAATTTCATTGCTTCTTAATTACAAATTCTGGACTATTGATACTGGTGAAGCTCTATCGAAATCTAAACCTACCTTTATTTTTCTGGACTATTTTCTGTCTTCTGATTTTCCCTCTTAGGCACGTATTCAAACATTGCGAGGACAAATATTGGAGACAACTTTGACTGTGAGGTTCTTCATATTTCAATATGGAATTGTGTACAAACTCCATCTCACAGGAAAGCACACATCACTTGCGGTAACCTCTTTTTCATGGCTGGCCTTTTCTTTTTATTGATAAGAAAATGAAAAGATTGAATATATGGCAATGCTATGTTTAGTCAAAGCTTGAAATATGATATGGTTGATGTAATAGTATTCTTTGTTGGCTGTGGCCGCTAGAGATGAGTATTGTAACAGCTCAAGTCTACCGTTATAATATATGGTCTTCTTTGAGCTTTTCCTTCCAAGCTTCCCTTCAAGGTTTTAAAAACACGTCTTATTAGAGAGAGTGTGGAAACTCAATCTAAAGAATGTTTTGTTCCCCTCTCCAACCGTTGTGGGATCTCACAATCCACCCCCCTTGGGGCCCAACTTCTTGCACTCATTCTTCTCTTCAATCGATTGCCAACAAGGTAACATTGGAGAGAGGAATGAGTGTCAGCGAGAACGTCAGACTCCAAAAGGGGGTGGATTGTGAGATTCCACATCGATTGGCGAGGGGAATGAAGCATTCTTTATAAGAGTGTGGAAACTTCTCTCTAGCAAACACGTTTTAAAAACCTTGAAACTCAAAAGGAAAAGCCTAAAGAGAACTGTGACAAGCATGATCAAAATGATGGTCTTCTAATTGTCAAGAAATACCAGAAGTACTTGGTTTCATTAAGTTAATCGAAGTAGGCTACTTAATGTACTAAAACATAACATTTATGCTTGAGATTTCTTAGGTTCTACCATGAAAATAAATGTAGACTATGGGAGATTGGTTTGATTCATTCGCTTCTCTGATAAACAACTGTCTCCATGTTTAGTTAAATGGTTTCTCGTGGGTGTGCTTGTTGGGATTGTTTTGTTATTCAAGGTTTGTACAATTTATTTCCTCACAAACTCTCTTCCTCATCCCATGACTTACCCTGTCCAAACTTTTTGGTGCAATTCATTCTCATCCATCTTTCTCAGTAGATATTCACCTTCATCTTAAAAAACATACAAACTTCCAGTTTTTTGTCTGGTTTTTGTCATAGCTTAAGCTCATCGCTAGCCTATATTGTATGCGTTACTAATCTTTCACATTTTACCATTAATTAAACCATAGGAGCCTAAAGCGATTTTAAGAACACTTTCTTAACAATTTTTATGAGAAAAAACGCCTTGAAGAGATTTATTATATTGCTAATTAAAAATAAAATGAAATAAAAATATGCAAAAAGGCATTTATATGTTAACTAGTGTGCTACTGATCTGTTTTTGTAAAAATAGAGAAAAAAAGATAAAAACCACAAATTAAAAATATGAAGGTCAGACAAGGAAAAGAAGTTTGCACGCATAATGGACGGTGATGATCCATGTGCACGACCGAGCTCACGTAAGATTCTAACATCAGATAACTCCCAGGTTGAATATAAAAATAGGTCCATCCATTCCATTTCGAGAAAATTATCTGGTTCCCGCTGCAAGCTCACAGGAGTCCGTTTTGTTTACAAACCAAATGCAAACTCTCTTAAACCCTTCTCATTTCTTCACCTTCCCCAAGCTCCGAAGCTCTCCAAGCTCCAATTCCCCTCGTACTTGCTTTCAATGGCGTCCTCTCCTCTGTCCACCGCTTGCTTTTCCCGGCAGCTTCAGTGTAAAGTGCTTCAGCTCAGACGAGTTCCCTGTGGACGAGTCCTTCCTCGAGAATTTTGGTCCGAAAGACAAGGAAACTGAGGATGAAGCTCGAAAGCGTAACTGGGTTGAGCGCGGTTGGGCCCCCTGGGAAGAAGTCTTCACTCCAGAAGCCGATTTTGCGCGGAAGAGTTTGAATGAAGGCGAGGAAGTGCCGCTTCAGACGCCTGAAGCGATTGAAGCCTTCAAAATGTTGAGCCCAAAGTACCGGAAGCAGAAGATGGAGGAAATGGGGTTGACGGAGGGTGACTATTACCGCAAGCAATGCGAAACTAAAGGCGAGATACCGGAGCCTCTTGAGACGACGTGGACTAGGCCGTTGGTCCTGCAAGTCGTGCCTCCACGGGACTGGCCACCGAGGGGATGGGAGGTTGATAGAGAAGAGCTGGAATTTATTAGGGAAGCGCACAAATTGCAAGCTGTGAGGGTGGACCTGGATCGGCTTGAGAACGACGTGAAGACAGATACTGGAGATATGTGTTTGGACAGATACAAAGTGTTTTTGAAACAGTACAAGGAGTGGGTTGCTGCGAATAAAGATAGATTGGAGGAGGAGTCCTACAAGGTTTGTCACACCCCCGTTTTTAGGAGATGAATTATTGAGTGGTTTCTAGAAATTAAAGTTGCCAATAGATATTTCAAGTTTAGAGCATTTTGTGACTAGCTGTTCCATCCAACTAATACTTTTTCACAGTATGACCAAGATTATCATCCTGGTAGAAGGAAGAGAGGGAAGGATTATAAAGAAGGCATGGTGAGATTCGTGAACTACTCATATAGTTCTAAAGTTTGATGCGGTTTATTTAGGCCTGTAGGATCTTGATTTTTCTTTTGTATATTGTTTTTTGCAGTATGAGCTTCCATTTTATTATCCAGGACAAGTAAGTTTCTTGCCCCGTCCCTTCAATTTAACTATGAAGATACACAATGACTTTGTCTGTCTTTTTTCTGTTGTCATGAAGATCCTCTTTATGATATTGTTAGTAAATACATTTTAAGTTTAAGTCGAAGAAATCTCTTTCATTCTGCTATCCTAAACTTAGAAAATAAAGAAAAGTAAGCTATCTGTTGTCAAATGTAAATGAAACGAGAAGATGACGTAATGGGCACTCCATGCAGATTTGTGAAGGGAAAGTAACTACTTTACACCTCTATCAAGGAGCTTTTGTTGATATCGGAGGTGTATACGATGGGTTAGTATAGTTTCTTATGTTGATCTTCTTGATGTCTATGGTCTCATTCTTTTGGATTGGGGTCCGTTCTTGTAATTAGCGTTGGGATTCCTTTTTGTGGGCTGGTACATTGTTTCATTTTTTCTCAGTGAAAGTTTGGCTTCTTATTAAAGAAAATGTTCTTTGATGACTAATGAAGCTTTAGTTCCTATTAGTTAAGAGCTCAAAATACGAGCAGTCTGAACTTTGTTGTCTCACTAAAATATTTCCACTCTACATCACAGAAACTTTTTTGGTAGTTTTTCAATTTTTACCAGCATTCTTTAGGTATTTTATCTATATATTCTCTTGTTCTCCCTAGCTACATTTTCTTTTTTCTTTTAATCCCCTCCACATAATTAAAATTTGTTATTATTGGGGTGATTTTGTCTCTGTTAATGAAAAAAAAGGTCTTCTCATTGATCCTCTAGCATTCTCTAGGGTCCATCCAGCATGAATAAAGGGAAACCTCAAGGAGTTTGACTTGTATTTTCATGAATTGTAAGTGTTTTCCTTTAGACTCATGCCTATAATAATTACAGGTGGGTTCCCATAAAAGGTAATGACTGGTATTGGATTCGCCATCACATAAAAGTCGGTATGCCCGTGATGGTAGAGATTCTGGTGAGTGTTCTCTTAGTAGCATTTTGTAAATTTTATTTACATTTTCTTATATTCATTATTTAATACTTCACCATGAGGGAAAACAGAAAGGAAAAGAAAATCACAACAAGCTCCTTCAATATTTTACCTTATTTATAAGATACGAACTCCTGTAATTTCTGTGACTTGACATGCCCCAAGGTCAGATTGTTAGTTGACCTTCTGTCTTGGGTGGGAAGAAAGAACGACTTGCTCATTGGTTTAATGAAACATATCTGTGTCCGACTAACTTTCTTCTGATCATTGTTTTCTTTTCAGGCAAAGCGAGATCCCTACCGGTTTCGATTTCCTATCGAAATGCGTTTTATTCATCCTAATATAGATCACCTAGTGTACGTAATTTTGACACCAAACTATTCTTATTAATGATGAGTAGGACATCTTTATATGATATTTTTTATTCAGTCTGTTACAATTGATATGTTGAACTTTCCCTCAGTATGCTAATTCTAGCTATAATTTAAATTTCTTATGCAAAAATTTGATTATGTTTATAATGTACTGTGTTTCATTCTGTCCTCATCTCCAGCTTCAATAGATTTGACTACCCACCAATATTCCACCGGGACGATGACAGTAATCCAGATGAAGTTAGGGTGCGTGCCTTTCAATCCTGAAAATGTCACATTCTTTTCCATTTACCGTGCAATTACTTTATATATAGTGGAGTTCGATAGCTTTCCTGTACTATGTTTATTTTTGACCTGTCAGTGAGAGAAAGAGAAACCCATGAAATGTTTGATGTTCTATAATGTTGTAAAATCTAGAATGTTTTATGTTATACAGTATTATTTGAGCGTGGAGAAGTTTTATTGTGTCCAGGGGTCCCCAAAGAAGATATATTGTGAATTGAAGAAGAAATGTCTTCTTCTTGATTTATCTCATCCATTGTGCCCAAATCTAATTTTTTTGATACTATAGTCTTTCAGATAGAGAGAAAGAGAGAGAAGCTTACGTAAATCTTTTATGCTTTATAGTATTGCCCAAGCATGGCAATTCTAATGTAAGTTCTATTTTCGTTTGTTATCCCACTGTGCTAATCCAATGCTCTCTCTTTAGCGTGATTGTGGTAGACCTCCTATTCCTAGAAAAGATCCGGGAATTAAACCAGAAGATGAAGCCCTATTGTCAAATCATCCATATGTTGATAAGGTAACTCTTGGGATATGAAGTAATGCCTATTTTTAGCTGAATTTCAAGCAAGTTGACCATTTGTACTCTATCTGTATATTCCACTTGGAAAAGTGAAAAAATCAGGAGAAATTGTTGGTGGAATAAATGTAATGGTGAGAATAATCTTTTATAGGAGATTATTTAATTAGGTTCCTGTTCATTTGCTTCCAAAAATCTTAACCTTATTGATAATGTTCCTCCAAAATCTGCACTACTATATGGAGGAATCAACATATTGTTTCCTTTTTCAGGGTACTTAAGTCTTTCGTATTTCTGTAAATCATTCACTAATGGTTTTATTATCCTCGTTCCACAATTCAGCTGTGGCAGGTACATGTTGCGGAACAAATGATTTTGGATGATCTGGAAATGAATCCTGATAAATACAAGGACAAAAAACTTTCAGAGTTATCTGATGAAGAAGATTTTGATGAAGAAAACAATGTCGAATATACCAAAGTACGTTACAAGAACAGCTTGTTACCAAAGATGATTCTGGTGAGCACTCAGATTTTGATTGCATTGACATTAAGTATTACATGCAATTGATGTATATTTATAACCCTGTTCTCATCTTCGATTGTTAGAAAACAAGTGTCAAAGAACTTGATTTGGAGGCAGCTTTTTCTGAGCGTCAAGTAAGCGTTTTGGTGAATTTAAGTCTTTAAGCCTCTCATGTTTCCACTATTATTTGATCTTATTCCTTGCTATATGTGTAATGTTATGATTGGTCATCTCACTCCAGTTTGGATTTCTATTCGGATTAAGGTTCACAAT